TTTAAAATTGAGTCTTTTTAATAAAATTTTATTAAAAAACTAAAATATTTTAATTTTTAAAATAAAAATGAAGTTATTTTAGTTTTTTTATAATATTTTATTAAAATATTACAATTTTAAAGTGTATTTACTTATTTTTTTATAATAGAAATTGATACACATTAATCCCTACATATGCATTAATTTTTCTAAAAAGTAATGATGGAAGGGACGAAAACGAAAGACGAAATAAGGAACAACAGGTTATCCAAGATTCATACATATGGTGTAATTATTAATTTGACCCTCTTGCATTACTTGTCGTCTCCCTTTTCGTCCCCTCCATCATTATTCTTTTTTAAAATATAGGTCAATGATGCATTAATCGATATAAAAATGTAAGAGTGACTTTAATTTTATTAATCTTTTAATTAAGAACACTCATTAATTTTTTTATATTTTTTCATATAAATTAAAAAAATACAATTAATGCAGAAAAACCTTTCATTTTTTTTTTCTTAAGATGCGTTACACATTTCCCCCCCTTGCCACCTGGTTCTTTCTGGACCCACCTCAAATCCACGTGTCCACTTAACCCAAAGCGGTTGAATCACTTGGAGGTCATTTACATAAATAACAGCTCCAATGTTTCCAAGCCACGTATCACCTATAGTTCTGAAACATCCTTCCTGTACACATGGCACTCTATGATTTGGTCTTCACTTATTTAAACAACATCCACGGGTAATATTATCTTCGTCAAACCCAACTCAGACAGAACCCTCGTTCTCTTCGCCAGCGAAGGTATATTAACAATAAAAAAAAAAAAATCACAAAATCAAAGGGACAAAACAAAATCTCATCAGAGTTTTTTTATTAAGGGATCTAAAACACAAATTTTCTGTTTATGTCAAAAACACACCAACTCAATTAAATACACTGCTCACAAGGTAAGCTGATTTTTACCTTCTTTCTTCTCCTTGCTCTGTAAAACCCCAATTCCTTTTGCAGAATTTAAGGTTTTAGTCTTATAAAGGCAACTGATTTTAATAAAAGTTTTCAACTTTACCATGTTTTTGGTCATTTTGTTTACTCCCCATGTGAAAATTTTCAATCTTTGTTTGTTTTAAGTGGGGGGTTTTTCTCTCTAACTGGTTTTGTTTTTATTTTTATTTTTATTTTTTCTTGCCTTTTACCTGTATTTTTTTTTTGTTCCAATGGTTTCAATGGAGTGAAAGGTACTCTGCTTCCACCTCTATTAGGTTTCTAATAGTTAGAGAAGGGCTGGTTGGAATTCAGAAGCTTAGCTGCCATTAATGGATTGCCTTCACCATACCTCTTTTAGTTGTCGTAACAGAATTTTGTTCATTATTGCAAATTTTAGAGCTGTTCTGTGCATGTGTTGTTGTATTCTACCTTTTAATGGATTGCATACATGAGGGGGTTTTCTGTTTTTAGTAGACAGTAAAAATTTGTCTGAAGCTTCTTTCTTTGTTTATTCTTTTAGAATCTTATACGAGCTCCTTTGTTTTATTAGTGGGAATCATCAAAAATTTTTCTTTGGTCATGAATGTAAGTTTGAGGATAGGGAACTGGCTTTATCAAAAAAGACATAATACTTGTAGACATACAATCTGGATTGGGAAACCGTACTTCCTAGCTTAGCATTAGAGTTGAAACTTATGAAAAATCTTATTTCTTTTCTTTTCCTGAAATTGTTCTTTTCCATTAAAGGAAATGCAAGTGTTAGAATTTTGTTGGAACTTGACCAGCCGTGCCCATGATTTTTTTTTTTATATATATATTATAATGAACTAAATTTACAATAACTGGTTGGAGGAGAGGAGCTCATCATTGACCTATTTCAGGTTCATTTTTCCCCGAGTCCTGTGTAGTTTCTTTCTGAGTTGCCTTTACTAGCTCCACTTTACAGAGATTATACTCGAGCCATTAAACTCCAAAATGAATGACATTACAACAGTGAAAAAAAATCCTAAAATAAGTGAAGCTCAGATGGTCCATGTTTAATTTTTCAGAGTCTGGTTCAGATTTTGGACTTTTGTGATGATATAGATGGTGTGAGAATTTTACCAGTGATTGGCAAGTTAATAGAAAGTGGTGTTCCAGTTGTACAGGGGAGGTTAGTTTAAGACTCCTTAAGCAGCATGAAATGTATCATAGATTTCTTGTTACTCTGGTTTTATTTTTTATGGTGGTTTCCTGTGGATTGGGTTTTTGGAGATAAATATACCTATCTTTTAGTCTAGGCAAAAACTGTTTCTGTGAAGATGATTCCTTTAGGTAGCCATTTTTTCAGTACTTGCTGCATAATGTTAGAATATAATAGTATTTAATTTATAACGAGGCCTGAAATTTTATCTGCTAATGTAGGAGGTAGAACTCTTCTTGGCTTATTGATTTATATTTGAAGTGTATGCATTTGCTTAAACTTTAACATTGTTTAACATAGCTTTCTACATTTCTCCTGGGATAGAATGATATTAAAGATCTATGGAGAAGGAAAGCAACTCTCCTGAGAATAATATAATGAATGAAGACAACCAAGAGCATAACCATGTTCCTCCAGCAGATGTTCTATTGAAGCGGAAACGTGGTCGTCCAAGAAAGCATCTGCGGCTGCGTCTAAACCACAGAGAGAATGCTCATGATCTGGGGATTCAGAATCAAAATCAAGAAGATATTGCCCGTTCTCCACCTGGATTTGATGTGGTGAACAGTCATCAAAACAAGAATGGAAATCCAGGCAATAAAGCAAATGATGTGATGGTGGGTCAGGTAGTTAATGGCATTATTGAGGCAGTATTTGATGCTGGATATCTACTCACTGTTAGGGTTGGTAACTCAGAAACCGCTTTAAGGGGTGTTGTTTTCAAGCCTGGACATGTCGTACCTGTTTCAGCAGACAATGATGTAGCTCCAAATGTTCCAATGATCAGGAGAAATGGGATTCCTTTCCCAAAAGAGAGAAGCGGGCGGCATGTCAATTCTCATAGAAACAGAAGTGCTCGAGCTGCATATAGTGCTGCTAATTTTGGAGTCCCAAAAGGCACACCGGGACACTTGGTGACGACCCATAATGCGAGTCCAACAATCTCAAGGGGTACTGTGGTACCTGTTCTGCTCCAACCTGTTAAGTTGGGCAATGGTGGATCAGTTACCAACCAACCAGTTCAAATTGTTAGCCAACCCCCTCATTTGGTGGCCTCTAGAAGCAATCAGTTGTCTGAAGCTGCTCGTGCATCCAACAGGGCAACAACTGCTGATCAGGTGGCAACTGTTGGATTCCAAAGTTTTCCTCCACCTCAAAATGCCCACCAGCTGATGCCAAAGGTAATGCAAAGTGAAGCTGGTACTTGTGAGCAACTCCAGGTTGAGGTGTCTGGGGAGGTAGAAGCCAAGTCTATGAGATCGCCTGGTATGCCTTTCGAAAAACTTTTAACTGAAGTCACGAAAAGAGTTCAAGCCTCCTCACAGCCAGTGGAGGTTCAAGCTAGTCACAACCTTGAAGACAATAAGCCACTCTCTATCAAACCACTGCAATCTATACAGCCTGATCACTCTGCCCCTCAATCCAAACCTTTGGAGAATTATAGAATTGGCAAGATGACTCAGCTATTGCAGGTATAATAAAGCAGAACTCAAACATTATTCCCAATTTTTAACCTATTATGCACTGGAAGTTCAAGATATAAAATTGAATACCACTCTCCTTTCAAGGCTGTGCAGGAAAACATAAGGGAGAACCAGGCAGCCCAGGCTGCTGGTGCAGCATTTGGTTCCAGAGAAACTGAACTTGAAGAGAAAGAAACTGATGATTCTGAGAACCCTTCCCTGGCTTAAAGTGTCTGATTTGGTTGTCACCCCCACCAGCAGTCCTATCCTTCTAAGTTTTAACTATTTCACATGTTGTATCAAACAATCATAGAGAAGTTTAGTGATCCTAAAATGGGTGACGCGAATCAGAAAATTGCCTCTTGATGGTTGTAACCTTAACTGCAGAGGTTGCATTGCAGGTGACAATGTGTTAGCTCTAGTCAGACCTTGAGCAACAGAACATCTTACTTGCTTAGAATATGGTATCAAAACTTTTTCAGGCATCAACTCATATAGATCTAGACAAAAGAAAGAGCTTGTTTATACTGCCTGATCTTCATAAGTAGGAGTAGAGCTGAAGTTAGGCATGTTAAAAGCATACATGGTTTCAGATTCATGATCATTATCTAGATGGATAAACTTTTGGAGGATAATGCATTTCCTATTGCCTCTTTCATTTTGTAAGTTCCTGTATATACACTTGCCATAAAATATCAGACTCCATTCATACTTGTTAAACATCATTGGATTTTTTTTTTTTTTCTCCAACAAGGAGAATTTTTAGAAAAGAAGACATATTACAATTATTCTTATAAAAACTTGAAACGTGTATGAATTAAGGTTTTTACCGTACATTGCAAGCTCATTTAGGGCTGCTGAGGCTGTTAAACGTCATTCTTTGCAGGGTGATATATATATAAACCTCAGTGCCTACCATCTAGGAAAATAGAGAACAGCGCCTACCATGTAGTACTGTAGACAGGACAAGAACAAGCTTTCAAATAATCTGTTTTTTTTTTTTTTTTTTTTTTT